GCAAGCGTCAGAAATTTTTTTTAGTTTTTACTTATTTTATACTGTTTTACAGCAGTTTTCGAGTTTTATGAGAAATTCTCCCACGCCGGATTTCAAATTACCGTCATACTGCGGTGTCTGCCACTATTTTTCCATAAAAGTGCATGTTGTAACAAGAAAATCGCACTTGAGTAGATCCGGTTAGGATCCACTTTTTTTTTCTGGTTTTCTTCATCCCCACCGAAGCCGCCATAAAGTTTTTTCTGCCACTATTTTTCCCGGTTTATAAAAAATGGTTGCTTTGACTTACCGTTGCTTCCAGACGGTTAGGTCCACCTTTTTAGAAAAAAAAAAAATGTTTTTGTATTTTTCCTAGCACTTTTTCGTGAATTTTTACCATTTTTGACCTGTTTTTTTGAGGTTAGGAAATTCCTGTGATGTGATAGTTCAATTCTGACACTGGATTCGTGATCAGGAGACAATGGATAACATATGTCGCATGAAAAGTACGGACAACTTTTTTTTTGCCTAGCAGTGTAATTTTTTAAATGGAACACCCAATATGTTTTTCGATTTTTGAAATTTACGAAATATCTCCTTGCAAGTGATACATGATATTTAGACAATTCTTTCAAGGAATACACTAAAAATATATTTTTTCAACTGCTTCTTAACATAATTACGTATGCCGTAGATATATTTGAGTATTGATGAATAAAGAATACATTGTACTCTGAATTTGATTAATATTTTTGATTTACAAAAGAAATAATTTTAGGTGTTTAAAATTGATAAAGATTTTTTGTGTAATTGACACATATGATACATCAATAATTGAAAAGAAATTTTATGCAGATTTCAAAAATAAAAAAATAGATGTGTGTTTGTTTAAGTTTGCGTTATAACAGAAAAACCGGAAGTTATAGAAAAATATCGCATACGCCGCAGGATTATATGTAAAACATTGTAAAACTCCTGGTTGTAAATATTATCAAATATTATTGCGAACAAAAAGTTATAATGCATCATAAAAAATAACTCACAATGAAAATCGCCCTCTGAGATTTTTAAACAGATTAAAGTAACGAGATGCGGTTTTCGCCATTCAACTGTTTTTCCCAAAAATCAGGCCCGTGTCATTTATAGGTATCACTTTTTTTCTATCATCTCGAGAAACACGGGGAACTTCGTCAGTTGTGTCGACTTTGGCTCACCCTATACAATAGCATTCACTAACAACATGGTAATCAGCTGGTTGGGTGTCGATAATAATAATCATGTACAAACTTATTCATTTATAATGTCCCTTGCGTCTGTTTGTTTGAATCAATTTTATAAATACTTTTTATTATATAATCATTTCCGTTGGTGGCGTCAATTGATTACATCCACCGCGAGTAAGTTCGACTTTCGGTGCCCCAATCACCCCCACATTCAAAGCTGGACCGTGGAGCTGGCGTTGTTGCTATCCAGCTACACCGAACATGCCAGTACCCACTCACAAATAATTGCTTTCATTTTGACGAGGAAGTACGTCACTATACCTTGTGCAGTATGTTATTGCTCTTGACAGTGGCGCCACTTCCTTCGTCCGGGGGACGTGCTGTGAATATTAAATACTTGTTTTTTAAGCCATTATCATAACTGTAATTGCTTTAGAAAAGGCATCAGAAGTTTTCTGTCAAAACTGAAAGGATATTATGGAAAGTAAAGAGTATAAATGAGACATGAATACCTATTTATGTAATTTATTACACCAAGACTACAATTTCCTGTTGTGGTTATCACTATTCGATTCAGTTTTTTTACAAAGCGAAGTGTGGCACTTGCATAGGGAACATAAAAACATAATAAGCGGAGTTGTGTGCTTAATGACACTTGAAACATAATTTCACATTCCAAATTATAAGCACTCATGAACTTAATTCATTTATTCATGTACTTAAAGTCACAAATCACTTGAAAGTTTAGGGTACAAGTTAAAGACAATGGCGTTTTAATGGCAGTGGTAAAATATTTATGTATATTTAATAACTGGTGGTTTAGGTACATAGTAAATATCTTATTCAGAAATTAATGATTTTGTAAGAAATAAAGATAATACATATATAAAATTCTAGTTATTCTTTAGCTATATTTTTTTACAAAAATACTAAGTATCTATACTACTTTTATTATACTATGAGCTATGCTATACAGGCTGTTACAAATTTACTACGTGGTTCTCGGAAACGGTAAGAGGTACGAAGTAATTGGGGCAAATTTGCGTAATCAGGGAACCAACATTATGCCTCTAAAAAATCAAAGCTAACATGATTAGTTTTCGAAATATTTGAAAAAAAAACGAAATTTTGGAAATCCGTTTTTGTTTCGTTTCAGCCTTGTTTGAGGAGATATTGAAAAAAGAAAAACACTTTCTCATGGCCATTTTTTGTCCTCTAATGAATGGCATAATCAATTTTTATATGTAACGTTTCGTCTCTCCAGGACCATCATAAACTTCATTTTTTTAAATACGACCCTAGAAATTTTATTACATTTTTTGCAAGCCTTTATGACCCCCAATACTGTACTGCCTTAGTCCTAACCAGATTCAGACGTTTTGTCTCGAAAAATTCATCTTCAGTGTATTTTTTCCAAATTTATCTATATTTTTTATTTAGATTTCTTTGTTTATCGAATCATCGTACACTGTAAGTGTCGTTAGACCCTGTGAAATCCATCTAGTTATTCAAACTATTACCACCACGCATTAAAATAAAACATTATTAGAGTTTTATTCCCGTGTCCATAGTTAATCCTAGGCTTCTCGAGTGCTCAAAGTTCAAACAAATTCCGATCTATTTTCTTTCAGGATATTCATACAAATACATCTGACATGCTCTTTCACAGTTGCAGTTACAGATATAATAAATTCCGATAATATTATGCTGATCTTCATTTTCAACCTTTGCCAAAACGAAAATGTTTTTGAACAGTTACTGAAATTTTTTAACGTTTTGGTTGTTCATATGCATTTTTAAGAATTAATTTGTCCTAATAAAATTAAAATTGTAACATTGTTTTAATTTTGACGCAACAACTTATTGAGTTATGTATGACGAAGTGATGGTAATAGTTAATAATAATAAATGTTCTATTGTAGCGCGTGGTGGTAATAGTTTAAATAACTAGATGGATTTCACAGGGTCTAACGACGCTTACAGTGTACGATAATTCAATAAACATTGAAATCTAAATAACAAATTTAGATAAATTTGGAACGAATACACTGAAGATTAATTTTTCGAGACAAAACGTCTGAATCTGGTTCGGGCTGAGGCAGTACAGTATTGGGGGTCATGCAGGCTTGCAAAAAATGTAATAAAATTTCCAGGGTCGTATTTAAAAAAATGAAGTTGATGATGGTCCTGGAGAAACGAAACGTTACATATAAAAATTGATTATGCCATTTGATAGAGGGCAAAAAATGGCCACGAGAAAGTGTTGTTCTTTTTTCAATATCTCCTCAAACAAGGCTGAAATTAAACAAAAACGAATTTCCAAAATTTCGTTTCTTTTCAAATATTTCGAAAACTAATCATGTTAGCCTTGATTTTTTAGAGGCATATTGTTGGTCCCCTGATTACGCAACTTTGCCCCCATTTAAGCTACTTCGTAGCTCTTACCGTTTCCGAAATCCCTGTAGTGAGAAGCGAATTTGTAACAGCCTGTATAAATTTAGAGCTATGATATTGTGAGAAACAAAACTACTCTGGTGATTCTACTGATGAATGATCGTAGTTACTGTATGTAACTCCCGAAAGTTACTGATACAAAATTATTCAAAAATGAAAAAATCTACGAGAGCTACAAGAAAACTAATGGCATAATTCCAGAGCGTTTATCGTTGCGTCATTTTTTCTCAACTTAAACAGTTTTCTACCTCATCCCGTTTTCTAGATTTCCATGGTGTGCATGCCAGAGAATCAGCTAGATTCCAACTTTCAATCTCTAAAATTTTTTTCTAGATTCATGTAATGGCTGGGGAATCACAAATACTGTTTAGTATTTGTTACTGAGAATGTATTGCACCTGATACGTACCGGAATTTTATATTACTGTCTGTGTTTCATGATTATCTAAGTCATATTTCAGATAAATGGAAAATACATATGAAACTTTTAATTGCTGATTAGTATTTTTAGAGCATTATTTATTTACTTCCAAAATTTTGCACATACTTTTATTGGTCGTTGTAGTTGTGAGAATAACAATTTTAGATTTGAATAAAATTTTTTGTTGGATATAAAGATAATTTATAGCTTTTTAATATTTATATTCCGTCCATTTAGACAGTAAATTGTCTATGTAACTGTTCGTTTTTATGCCGAATCTAATCGTTTTAATTGTTATGTAACCACAGTTGAATTTTCGAATTTCTATTCCGACAAAATACTGCACTGTTTTTCGCCACCGTCGCGTCGTTCTAAATAATTGTATTCTGCATGTTTTTACGCTGTTCTGCCAATTAAAAGAGAAATACCCTCCGCGTAGAAGTGTATTAACCGTATTAGAAATTGTCTACGTTTCTCCATTTTTTTGTGAGCTAATTTACATTTCGTTTGCTGGTGAATGACCTTTCCTTAATTGAGGCATTACATCGAAGCAAGCTACTTCTTAAAAATTACCATGGAATAATTGATGTGTTTATTTAAATTTTATAGGTTTTGCTTAAACGTGTTCCGTGCTATTTACACGCTGTTTAATTAGTGATTTTAATCTAGACCATTGCTTTATCGACATTTTTAGACGTTGTTTAGTTAGTGTTGGTGTACCGGGAAAGTCTGTCGTAACATTTTTTATGTTAATGACGTAATACATAAACATTGTGACAATAATTACTCATGTTTGATTTACAATGATACTTGCTCAGTCGTCATTAATGGGAGTATTGTTTAAACAAAACACGATCATTGCGCATTTTAAGCACTCTCGCGTTCTACGTTGATCGCATTTAACATTTTATCGTTATGTTGCAGCAGCAGAAGTTCCTGAAGCGGTCCGCGGAGGAACACGACCCCGGGGGGCCCAACGACAGTTTCGAGCCACCGGTGAAACTTCAGTGCACCACCCAGCAGCATGGCTCCCATCAGAATGAAGGCTTGACGAAATTCTCCGTAGAAATAGTCCAGCAGCTGGAGTTTACGACGTCGGCAGCTAGCTCGCAACCCCAGCAGATATCCACAAATGTCACCGTCAAGACGCACGCCAATGCTTCCGTTAAAAGTGACGTTTCGTCCCCAAAATCGAATCCCTCAACTCCCGCGTCGAATATGCATCAAAAGTCGAACATTGGCCTAGACGTTGGCACTTTAGTGGAGTGTGTTAAACAAGAACCTGATAATGATTTCGCGGACTTGGACCAGTGCGCCGCGGCTTTGGAAAAGGACGCGGCGGCGAACGGTGGTGCCGGTTTCGGTGGTTTTTCGGATCTCATTGGTGACGACACCAACGATGAAATCATATCATCAGCAGCTTTTAAAGATCTGATCTCAGATATTAGTAACTATCCGGATTATCCAGAACTCATGAAAGACTTTGACTTCGAAGATAAGCCCGAAACTAACACGAACAGTATGAAAGTAGAGGATAACAAAGATTTAGTTCAGAACGTGAACACTCCGGAGAACGCGAAAAATACGCACAGTCCTTTGCTACATAATCAAAATAACTATTCACCCCCTGTGTTCGATAACCAAGGTATCAACAAAAACAGGATACCTTCCTATTCGAATATGGACTTCAGTAAGACTGAACTAAGTCCAGCCGCTCAAACCTTAAAACAAATGGCTGAACAACACCAACACAAGAATCAAATGGGACTCTCGTTCAATCCCAACAACCGTGTTCCTAACTCCAGATCGCCGTACCCCGACTTCCAATTCCAAGGCGACTACGGTAGTCCCAATTCCAACTCCAACTTCCACAAGAACAGTCCTACCTTCCCACAGCCTGATATGATTAAACAAGAGATGATCTTCCAAAGCAACGAATTTGACATGAAACGAAAGAGTGCGGGAATGTACAAGCAACAGTATTCGCCCTACAGTAGCCCCAGCGCGAGCAGCCACGGCAGCCCAGGGTACTTGCCTCGTGGTGGGACTGGGCCTAACACCAATGCTGGTCCATTTGGTGGTGGCACGCCGCCTAGGCCGCCATCAGGACCTGGCGGGAATAACTCTGGAACTAACGTACAAATTAATCAAGCTCAACAATTGAATATCAGCCAACAGAGCCATGGGCATGCTATTCAGGTTAGTGCACATTGTTTTATTCAATTTAATATTAATTACTTATTTAATACTGAAAAAAAAAATTGGATAATATCTCAAAATGTGTTTTAAAGACATTACACAAGATATTTATTATTTAGTGACGGGGCTGGTGAAAATTAAGGTGGACATATTTATGCTCACATAGGCCTTCCGTGAAAAAATTTTGAAGGAAATTTGTGACGTAAAAAATTAAAGTCGTCCTTGAAATTTCGATTTTTTCATAATTAACTGATAGATTTTTATTTTTAATTAATTAAATTAAGTTTTAATTTGAAATTAAAATTTTATTTTTATTCAACTTCAAAATGCTGTGCCTAGTGGAAATCTACATACATTTGTTCAAGAACATTCAAAACATGCGTAAAAACTACAAAAACCGTTTACAAACTTTTGTGTAAAATTTTCCATCTATTTGAATGAATCGAAAAAAATGTTTCAGACAAATCCTACGTACTTTTAGCCGTAGTATTCGCATCTGCAATAAAAAATACGGGTTCCTATTTAAAATTTCAAAGGTACCCTCCTCTCCACTTACAAGGAGTGGGGGAGATAGTGTAATTTTAGCACTAATGTATTTTGATTATTGACATTTTTTTCATAGGGTGCTTATTTCTCGAGATATTTGAAAGTTTCGGTTAAAAAATACACCCGTTATATTGTTAAATGTAACAAATGAATTTTTTATATTTTTAAATTCTATTTTTCTTACAATAAGAATTTTTGTTTTTTTAGCATTTATAAAATCGCCTTATCTATCTTGGAGGGTCTCTTGGGGTCATCCATTAATCACGTGAGCTCCAAATAGGGGAGGGGGGCTTTAGATAACATCACTATTGCTCACAATGGGGGAGGGGGGGTTGTTGTTACATCTCACGTGTATATTTTCGCACATGCCCCAGATGCCTTGCTGCGAGCTTCGATATGACATCATGATAAGTAACGCGCAATTGACGCGGTTGATCTTTGTAAAATCGTCCATCGCCCCGCCCGCGCTGTTTTTTTATTGATTTTCATAAAACAATATTCTGAAAATATTGAAGTTTTTTTAACAAAAAAATACACGTGATGTTAGATGAGGGGGGGGGAGCTTACAACCTCACCACGTATCACCAGGGGGGAGGGAGGGTGTAAAAAAGTGGCCTAAAAACCTCACATGATTAATGGACGACCCCTTGGCGTTCCTTCGTGTGAAAATTGTTTGAAATAATATTTTTTCGGGTCAGCATCAATTCGATGTTGGCAAACCTAGATCTTTTCAATAATTAAAGTTTCTAAGTCAGTGAACATTATTCTAAAAAAATCTCTTAATCTTCATTTATTTTCAACTCTCTCAAAAAAGGATTTTGAAATATATTTTGTTTTATTTTTTTTTAAAGGGAATGTTTTTATTTTTGCTTGGGGCATTTGTTAAAAAACTTTTTTAAGTGAAAATTGTTTGCAGATTTGGACTAGGCTTAACTTTATGAAAAAATGAACATTTGTTGAAAAGTAAAAACGACTGTTGTGTGTCTATCAGTTGATTAAGGAAAATTTTTTTAAACTAAAAAAAATTGATTGTATTGTCTCTTACTGAAGCAAATTTAGCAGTACACTTTCTATTTTTTTCATTGAAACTAAATATAACATATCTAATGTTTTTTAAATATAATTCCTGTAACTTTTATATGGGTTGTCCGATTAATATCAAATCTGACAGCAGAGAATAGTAACATAAACAAGTGAAAATTCGAACATTCCCGCCAATTTAAGGCGTCGCGTTCTTTGGAAGTACTTTGGTTTGTGTACACTGGGATAACTAACTACTAAATTAAACATTTTAGACCGATTGTAGTTGTTCCTGACGTGGCAAAGTCAAAGTCAATCTTTGAACCCATTTTATTAGTTTTTTCTTGCTTTAGCGACAATAATTAAATTGAGCTTTGTTGCAGGTACCAAAGTCCTCTCTAATTATTAAATATATAAAACTTGTTTTAGCACAACTATTTTCTGATATTTATGAGATATTACATACATTTTTATTTGAGTGTGTGTGTCACTCTGAAACGAGAAATATATATTTTAAATAAATAACTGCTTGCTTGAACTAAAAAAGAAGAGCAAAGAAATTGTCACGTTTAACTTTTGATCATTGTAATTAAAGTCGTCAATTTACCTTGTTTTATGGTGAAATCGTAAGCAATTATCTAGTTGCCAGATACTTCTGGTTAAGCAAATCCATTGTCAAATTTATTAGTTTATAAATAGCCTTTGATGAATGTTATCAAAAATACCTACCTGATTAAATGAAAAATAAATAAATAAATAAATAAAATACAGAAATAAATAATTGCGGTAGTATTTCAACATTATCTATTATGTAATAGACATTGTATTTCTCTATCTTTCTCTTTCTCTATCTAAGCACTGTTATCATTTTTTCTTTTTTTAATGTAAAACATAAATCCAAAATTAATAATTATTATGGACATACCCGTATAAGTAGTATATTTATTTATGAAATTCTTTATCTCATTATTTTTTTTATCTAAAAGCAATTAATAATAATAATAATACAATTTTGTTTTTGACTGATTTTATAATCGATGAATCGATTTTTGCAATGTATCTATACATTTTTAAAATTCGGAAGTGTATTCTCGTGTAGTTTTCGTCCTCTTTCAAAGTTAGCTTTTAGGGAACTGCCAAAAACGTGGCTGGAAAATCATGGGATTCGATTCCATTGGAATAAAGGATTTCGAAAGTTACATTTCTATTCGTATTATCCTGTGTCCAAGAGTAAAAGGATGTAGTCCATATGATGAGCAATTACATTGCAGATTGTCACTTTTTTCAGATTAACAGGAATAAATTTTAAATAAGTATAAATACACCTTGTATATTTATTTGAATATAACCTTTGTTTTATCCAAATAAAAATATAGGATTGTTTCTTCAAAACATAGCCTCCTGTTATATCTTAAAATAAAATACCATGTATAAATACAGGCTTATTTTCAGAAATTTCATTGTGACTACGTAGAATGAAATCAATGAAAAAATTATTCATATTAAAATTTTGTTTTAATTTATTTTAATGGTAATCTTCATACTGGCTATTTTTACTGACTATTTTGTCATGCCTTTGACTACTAACATCAAACACATAAGTGCCTAATAACTATGTAGGTCAGAAATATCTGTTAAACTTTATATAACTTATATTTTCTCAACATTTATGGTAAATACCATATTTTTTACTTCTGTCTATATACAGGATGTAACAAAAATAAGTTTACAAACATTGCCTGCACCTGCAGATAGAACACTTAAAATTAGTATGGGTGCTTCATATACAATTTTTACCGAAAGTGCTTTCTTGGTGAGATACAAGGTGTTGAAAAGTTGAAATATAATATAATATAATAATATTTTTCAAATATTGAAAACGGTAGGAGAGAATAATCCCAAATTTGGTACGAATACTACACTACATTACAGACCCCCTAACACAAACTAATACTGTTTCGTCTTATAACCAATGTGGAGAATGCCCTCCCTTAGATTCAATACACGGACACATCGAATCATATTTAAGCGTATTCGTTGAAATATTCCAGGATAATTACGGATTCTGTCACAGGATTCCATCAAACGTTGTCGAAGCATATCTTCGTAGGCTATTAGCATATACTAATGATTTAAGATGGCGCCACAGACAAAAATCCATAGCATTAAGGTCAGGACACCGTGGAGGCCAAGTAACTGGACCTATATACTTGTTGGGATATTGCTCTTTAAGAAGATCGCGTACAGCTCGATGGAAATGAGGGGGCACCATCGTGCTTATACCATAAATTAACTCGTGTCTCTAATGGTACATCTTCTAGAAATTGCGGTAACGCATCTACTAAGAAGTTATAACACACATCTCCAGTAAGACGTTGTGGGAAAATGTAAGGACCAGTTAGATAATGTCCTATAATAATAATTTATCCTGAAGTTAACTTGATGCCTGCCTTCAATTATTGCATGAGGGTTCTCGTTGCCCATTGGTGTTCATTATGGCAATTATGAACACCATTCCAGGTAAATGTCGCTTCATCTGTGGCCAACAATGATGCAATAAATCTTGGGTTAGCCATTTGCTGAATAAACAATCTGCAAAAATTTTCTTTCATTTGAAAATCAGCAGGCATGAGAGCTTGAACTCGTTGTAAATGATAAGGGTAAATAAAGGAGATGCTCATGTAACACCCTCTAAGTGGTCATTTGGTTAGTATTAAATCGTCTGGCTAATTGCCAAGTACTGACATTTGGATTTTAACCAACAGTTTCCTAAATTAATTCTTCAACCTCAACTGTACGAGCTGTTCGTGGTCTTCCTCTTCCTGGTAATGGAGTGATCCCTGTGCCTTGGGATTATTTCCTCCTACCGTTTTCAAAATACTTGAAAATAAAAAAAAAAATCCAACTTTTCAACACTGTGCCTCACCAAGGAATAACTTTAGGCAAAATTTTTACATGAAGTACCCATACTAATTTTAAGTGTTCTATCTGCTGGCGAAGTATGTAACATTATTTTTGTTACACCCTGTATAAATGATCTGAAATAAAAAAGTAGTCATTTTGTTTGGGGAACGAGGTTTTAGGTTACCATTATATAGGTACTTATATTACAACTCTTATCAATGAAAAATTTAGTTAAGAAAGTTTAGTTAAATGTTATAATCAAGATAAAATGTATAAAAGTAGAAACCAGTTTAATGGAATTCAGCAATACTGGTTTGTCTCTACCGAATGAAACTAATATTAAGAATACTAATTGGATATTTATCTAATATTGTTAATTTTTAATTTAATTATATTGTGAGATACAAATGACCGACCATAATATCTAAGAGCATTCAGTTACTCCACAGCTGGCTCCATAAGTTATAATAAATCTTCATAGTTTATATTATAATTTATTTTTAAAAGTTTTTCGTTATTTTATAAATAGA